ACCATTCCTGAAGCAGAACAAGCTCGTGCAGACAACATTCACATCTATGCCATTGGTATTGGCCTGACAGACACACGGGAGTTGGATGGAATTGCTAGCAAGCCACTTGATGAGAACAGATTTGCAGTACAAGAGTTTTCTGAACTGCGAGATCTGAGACACAATGTGTTTGCTGCACTCTGTGGAGGTAAACATGCAGTTATCTTGCTGCTGGAATTTAATTACATATTTTTATTTGAATAATGAATAAGATAAGATTATTTCTTGACATTTAAAGTGACTATATTTTGTTAAATAGGAATTTCTCATTCAAACACTGTGTTATGTTACTGGACTCGGTGGACGTTAGAGCACTCATGCCAGTGTGCTGCTTTTACTTGTAAACCTAACAGTATACGATCTTTGCTTGGGGGTAGGGGGCAGAGCACATGCCTCAAAGGCAAAGGTCCGTTCTTTTCAATTTCAGCTAGTTATCTACTTGTCTTGTTATTTTATTTTGATAAAGACAAGCGTGTTATTAGGATTTTAAGTTTGTTTCGTTTGTTCATAAGTCTTAGTAACCTTTTGTTTCTTTTTTTCAGCTTCTACACCAGCACCCACAAAAGCCAGTAAGTAAAATTACTTGATGCTAAAAATATTAAGTCCTAACCGTTTTCATTGTGTTACGTCATTTTGTGTTGAATTTTGTTCTGAGAATGATAGGTACACTGTGAATGTTACGGATGCTTTTCATTTTCGTCTGTTATTCAAACCAAAAGGTCCCTTAGATTCTTGTATTTCACTCGGGCAATACTGATTTCTCAGACAACATGATTGCACATAATTCTATTAATGTCCTTATTTGATTGTTGATCAGCATAAAAATGCACACATAGAAGATTACTTTTTATGAGTATGGTGCAGGTGTATAATACATCACCCCTGTTGACAATTTCCATGGCGAAAAATTAGTTCCATAATAACATATTTAAAGTACTGCTCCTGCCTCTTTATCCTTTTTTTTTTAAAAGACAAGCACACAAATAGAACTCCAACACCACCCCCCCCCCACCCCCACCCCCTTTTCTTCTATTAAAAAAAGCCGTGCAATCTTTGAATGTGTGCTTTGAATAGTTCATGAGACAAACTCAACATTGTCTCAATACGGATTTCCAGCATGGTGCAATTTCTCTCGGTCATGGTACCCAAGAAAACGACTTCATTTAGGGCCACTTTTGGGTTTTGCCCCAAAATAACGAAGAGATGTCACTGTGATTCCAATGGGTGTCAAGGGTCCAAATTATGTTGGCCTTATATATTTAGTGTGCAGACGTCCGTGCAATCTTCTACCTAACTAGCACGAGCAAAACATCAATTCGTTCCTTACTGGATGAGCCACACAGCTTTAGAACCAGTGAACTAGTCAAGGATAAATGGAGTCAGTAGAGACTGTCTTAATGTAGACAACATTGCTATTGTGGTAACAAACGGTTTGTCAAACATTAATGCTAGAAGACGTCTTGATGCCTCAGGAGGCTTGTGTCATTTTACTAGCGACAGGCAGATGGTCATTATGTAATATTAGGTGAAGTTGAAATCCATTAGGTCATAGAAGGCTGCATGGGGGCTGATATGCCTAAAGGTCACACTGGACAAAACGTATAAATTGTGCCCCCTGGTAAGGCCCGTGGTTTCTGCAGTTTCAGAAGAAAAAACAGGCAGAAACGAAAAACCTGTAACTCCGTCCCACAATTTACAGTTTAATGCATTGATGCAAACCAAATTGTTGTACTTTTAAAGATATTTGTCTTTTTACACTTACTCTTTGCTCATATTGAGTGAGTGCTCATGGATCTCATTCTTTGCCAACAGGTTGTGCTGGAGCCAAGATTGACTTGGTGTTTGTCCTGGACTCTTCCACCAGTGTGACTGAGCCCAACTTTGAACTGATGAAAGACTTCATAAAAGATTTCCTGTATGAAGCTGACATCGATGGTGGCAATGTTAGAGTGGGTGTGATCATTTACAGTACAGCAGATCATGTTGAGTTCCAAATGAACACCTACAATACTAAGGCTGATGTTTACAATGCCATTGATGATATCCCATACCGATATGGCAGCACCAACACTGCAGATGCCCTCAAAACCATGAGAGCTGAAATGTTTACAAGAGCCAATGGAGACCGTCCCAACGTAGACAACATTGCCATTGTGGTAACAGACGGTGTGTCAAACATCAATGCTAGAAGAACCATTCCTGAAGCAGAACAAGCTCGTGCAGACAACATCCACATCTATGCCATTGGTATTGGCCTGACAGACACACGGGAGTTGGATGGAATTGCTAGCAGACCACTTGATGAGAACAGATTTGCCGTACAGGAGTTTTCTGAGCTGAGAGATCTGAGACACAATGTGTTTGCTGCCCTCTGTGGAGGTAAGTATTAATGTAACTTATATTCATTGCGTCATAGATGTGTTTTTTTTTTCCAAAACGTAATCTCAATTAAGGAAATGGATGGTGTCAGACACTCTTTTTTGCATGCCAGTCTATCAGGCTTGGAAATTTTGTAATTTTTTAGGAGGGTTTTTCCAAACTAGAGCTTTATATTATACATTGCAAGTCTAATCATGTAGACTCAGATCGTGGGGACAGTCTCCATATTATCCACTTTAAAGCCTGAAGGGTCATTTTAATGACATAATTTTTCATTAATTGTTTTAATAATTTCTAAAGATCCCTTTTTTTTTAACTCCATATTTATCTACATGACAATCTTGGTTATTAGCAAATATCCCCCTACCTCATTTAAATTTGAATTCAAATGTATCCTTAGTTGAAGAGGAATTCAGAGTTTATGTTTACAGCGATCCATCTTAGGATTTATGAAAGTAACCAGTCCAATGCAATAGAATTACATTATAACAATGGAAATATACTCTTTGTTTTATACATATAGTTCATTTGAAAGAAAATAAATCATCAATTGTTTACTAACCGTTGGAGTCCTGATTGTTTTATTGTAGTATAATACAAGCATGAATGAGGAAAAGGTCTATATCCGTACTACCTTAACAATGATAACACCAATTCAGGTTGAAAATCTAATATTGTAGTTGACAAGTGTAGACTGTGTGACATTTAATTTATTTTATAGGTTAACAATGAAACGATTACTTCTTTTTATTTTTGCTGTCATACGCTAAATCATCAAAATGTTTTGCTTGTACGTGCTTTTGTTCTTGTATTTTATCCATTTCTTTTCCAGTGTTTATTCATAACAAGATTGTCTCCCGGATGAATAACCGTTACCTTTTCTTTTTAGTCTTAACATTAAGGTGTCCGGCATGGGTAATGTATTATTTGTGTCATTTGATGTTTGTCATATGTATTGTGAAATAAGACCATTGTCATTTTCTTTCAGTATCAGGGACAAAGGTATTGGATGTTATTTTACATCCGTTCATCTTTTTTATATTTCACGATAATATTTCGTTAGGTAGTAATATTATTAGTCACAGTTCCCCCCCCCCCCCTAAAAAGATTAAAATAGAAATTTATGACAGCTTCATAGAAACACATTACAGATCTAGATCTATGTACAGTAAAAAGAACAGCTTAATAACTGCATCCTCGCGACCGTTGATTGTCTCAGTGTTCCTTTTGTATCCTGGTCTTTTCCTGGTCTTTGTTGTGGTACAACGATGAATAAACATCTCTTGGTTTCAATCTCTGTAGTAGAACTATTATGTAATTGGAACTGTTGTCTGTGACTGTGACTGGTGGGATTTTCTTTGGACTGACTCTAATTTATTTTTCAAAATGTTTTTGAAAATGTGTTAGATACTCATATCTTGCAACCTTTTCACGTGGATGTATTTTTATGAATCTATGAGAGAAGAAGGGAGAGGATGAGCCTGAAAGTGATTAGAAACCTGTGAATATCAGTAGTCAGATGAAATCATTAAAACGTCGTACAAAAACTAAAGAAGGAAGATGTATTGCATAGTGAATAACATTTTTAAAAGTATATCTAGAATGCAGATTTCTTTAATACAGTTATGTTGTACCTCGTGATAGATACTACACATATTTTTTGTAAAATAGAGAGAGGGCCTTTAAATATTAATGATTTCACCCCTTCTTAGTTGTTTTTAGTTGAATAGTTGAATTGGATAACCAATATTATGCAAGAAAAGCGGCCAAAGCACATGTATTGATACATTTGTTGGCCTTTAAAACTACATAATATCAACTCTTTGTAGTTTAAGTCCTGTTCTTGATATCCAGAAATGTATAATACGTATTACAAACATGCATTTATTTTTATTCTCATTTCTAACTGGTAGCGTTTGTATATTAATCATTAAAATTTTATTTCAAGCTGCTTGTATATTATTCCTATGAAGCATAGTACAAAATTTAGTTACAGATTTAGAGTAAAATGTGAAAATAAATCATTTTATACGAATAGATGATGCTTTTTCCAATTCATGATTGCCTTATTCAATAGGTGACCTATAAGAAACGAACATTTTCTTTGACATTTTTGCTACATTTTAGTTTTCCTGCACCCATGTCATTTCAGTTAGACATTTCTTGAATTTCTTTTCAGAGTTCATTCAGTCATTGATATATTGCCAGATCATTTGATGGGCTTTTCTTATTTTTTTCTCATATTTGTTTGCTGTTGCTAATTCATTTTCCTTGTGTTGTTATTATTTGAGCTCCTTTAAAATGTTGTGCAATTATTGTCATCTCCTTTTCAATCCCTCTCAAACCCAATTTATTATCATTATGTCCGCCAACATCATCTCCATCATTGATTAATCTCTCAAATTAAGAAAAAATATACCTTTACATTTTAGTAAGTAGATGAAAACATGTTTCACAGATACTAAGCCCTGATTGCAGAATTGAAGCAAACGTTGACAAAGACAATCCGATTAACAGAATCGCTTGTTGCTTATTTTTCCTTATCTGATGTTGCCAACATTTCTTTGTGTTTTTGAGTAGATGCACCGACGTGATAATATCAGAGAAATATCCTCAACAAATTTAGCGATAATACATTTTAAATGATACTTCAGTGTTAGAGGAAAAGTGACTTTGGATATATTTTCTTAAAGTTTACTTCTTTTTTCACTAAAAGGGCCCCCACCACCTCTTGTCGAAGAAACTACACTGCCCCCACCTAAGTCAGGTATGTTTTTAAGTGCTTATAAAACGATTAATGCTGGGTATTTGGTGTTCTTTAGTACTATTTGTTCTGTATTAGTTGTAAAGTATCTGATGAAATGCAGGAAAGGCTTACTGTTTAGTCAAACTATTTCTTTTGCCGGTCAGGCAAAAGAGAGTTTTTAGTATTCTTAAATGTTCAATGTATTGGTAAAAACTCTTAAATGATGCACTTTTAAAAAACAATTTATTTAGATCTGGTAATTGTGAACTTTTACAGCTCAGCTGCTTTTTTAGGGATATAACATGTGGCATACCTGTGGGCAGCGTACGAGCTGTGACTACTGTTCTTGGAGTTAATAACAAGAGATATTATATTATGTCTTTTTGGCTTATGGGTACTTTTTTACTTTGTACTCGCAGATTGTGCTCTGGGCAGGGCTGATCTTATCGTGGTCATTGACAGTTCCACCAGCGTCACTGAGCAGAATTTCAGGAAGGTTTGTCTTTCTGTACAGCGTGGCTTTTCTGTTTGTGTTATGATTACAGAGTTTTCTAACTTAAGAGATTATAGTGAGAAAATCTATTGTACTTGTAATTAGCATGTAATGCTGAAAGGCTAACGATTATTTCACAAACAGTGATACAAAACAGGTGATCTGATGCTCTAAATGCAAGGATGTGAATTAATTAAGCTAGTGGTTACAGTGTACAGTTTGGGCATGCTCTACTCAATCGTTATGGCATTACTCGCAATAATTGTTGAAGAGTTTAAACGAAGTATTCGAAAATGAAGTGTTACTTTTTAAAGCTTTTGTCACTATTACTGCCCACAGATCTCGATTTCTGCAAGCTTTTTTGAGAAATGGGTAATGAAACTCGATAATTAATTTCACAGGTACGATTGTTTGTGAAGGATTTCCTGAGCAAGGCTGATATCGACTCTGGAAATGTGAGAGTAGGTGTCTTACTATACAGCACTGAGGTCTTCCAGATCTTCCAGCTGAATCAGTACAAGACAAAGAGAGATGTCCTCAGGGCTGTGGACAGAATTCCTTTCCGATTTGGAAGCACCAACACCGCCGGAGCCCTGCGTGCCATGAGGACAGAGATGTTCACCCCAGTGAATGGAGACCGGGCTACCATCCCCAACATTGTTGTCGTCCTTACTGGTAATTAACGCAAACTAGTTTTTATACTACACTTTCTTCTTATGGCAGTTAATGCAGATTTTTATGCTCTATTTTTACTTATGGTAATTAATGCTAACTATTTTATGCTCTTCGTTCTTCGTATGCCGAACAGAACTGTTTTATCTTTTTTCAATTGTCTTTGTAGTCTTCCAATGCCTTTGGGAAGCCGAGACCATAGATTACACAAGAAAGTCCAAGTTTCGCCATGATCAGGTAGATAGCTAATTAATTGATTCACATTTCTTTTTCCCCAGATGGTGTGTCTACTATTGACGCTCGCAACACAGTCCCCGAGGCCCTGATGGCTCAGGATGAAGGCATTCATATCTACACCATTGGCGTTGGCTTGACCGACACGAGGGAGCTGGACGGCATTGCATCCCCACCAGCCAGGGACAACAGCTTCAAGGTCGCAAATTTTGATGAGCTGCAGACTGTGGATGACCTCATCTACGCATCAGCCTGTCCTAGTAAGGGCTTTTCTTAAAAAAACGTATCCAATCTTAGTTTTAACAGTCATGATCGACTGACTTCGTCTTCTGTTGGTTCAACTTCTGTTAATTTAATGTAGGCTATAACAGTCGTTTGAAGTTTTCACTCTTTTTTTTTACGTAAGCTACTTACAGCTTTACAAATGTGAGGCAGCGCAGTGGAATCAGGCTCTCGTCAAAATAATCAAAGAGAAGAAACCTACATTTTTCCGCATGCTTGTGAATTTTTATCAAATTTTTGCTTTTTGACTCAACACCTTTCATGCCCATTAACGAACACATTTCTGTGTGGATTTTTCATAAAAACATAGATTAAAGTTTTAAAAATGTAAATTTTCAGTTACCATGGACTGTTAAGCTAAGGAAATAACTAATCTTTGAAGGCCATTTTCTCACTAATTTTACCTCTGAAAACAGGTGACCCCCACCTCCTTCATTCACAAATATCTCGACTTGTATTCAAGATAAATGAATACTTTTTTCATCCAAATATCCAAATAAAGACAAATGAACAAGCTTTAAGAAGATACCAACAACTCTAAATGCCCAAAAATTGACGAGAGCCTGATTCCACCGCGCTGCCTCACAAATGGGAATACTCTTTGAATTACTCTTTGTTTTTGTTATGGTGTGGAGCTTTATACCAAAACGTTTACTTCTCAGGCATTTTGAAAGTTATGACTATGACTCTTGTTTGTCAGCTTAGAGATACTTTAAATTGAAAATACAGTTCTTTTAAAGTTGCCATTTTTGTTTTATTTTCAGAGGAATTCACGATGCCTACCCCCAAAAGTAAGTACATCCTTTTTATGTTATATGACCTATTTTTGTGTTCAATGAATATTTTTTTAAATAAAAACCTGTGGCATGTCCTTTGTATCAAATAATATTAAAGTTCATTGAAATTTTTCAAAAAGACCTCGCAGTACAGAACTCAAGGGAATTGTCTGGTTCCTGAATCATAGGCACTGATTCGGGCTCTATTGTTGTTCACAATGAGTTGTAGTCTTTCATTTTTTACAGATTGGCTTCCAGTGCCATTTCTATCTGCTTTTGCTTGCTGCATTCTTCCTCAGGTTGTACCAATTTTTTTAGCGGATAATTGAGGCTGATTTGAATTGTCACATAACATTATTATTTTTTAAAGTTTTAGACAAAGATGTGACAAACATGTTTGATCCCAGAAAACGTTGTGATAGTTTTGATCTATATTTCATTTCCAGTTATACGCTGCCTTGCAGTTTGTTAAAAATAATGTATGACGTAACTGATCTACTTGTAGAGTCCTTGTAAAAATACGACATTTTGCAATTTTGATGTGGGCCTATTCTCCTTCATTCATTTAAGCTCCTATATTATGTTTGATAAATGAATATTTTTCATTGGCTTAATTAATTGATTTCTAGTGCCGTCTGTGACTTGGTAAAAGCCTCTTTCCCTCTCTCTCTCTTTCTCTCTCCCCCCCCCCCCCCTCTCTCTCTCTCTCTCTCTCTCTCTCTCTCTCTCTCTCTCTCTCTCTCTCTCTTTCTCTCTCTCTCTCTCTTTCTCTCTCTCTCTTTCTCTCTCTCTCTCTCTCTCTCTCTCTCTCTCTCTCTCTCTCTCTCTCTCTCTCTCTCTCTCTTTCTCGGGACAGTAATATCTTTACAGTTTTGTGAGGATTGTTTGATGTTTAATTTACAATTACTATTCAACTGTTTTTATTGACATATTATATTTTAAGGAGAATCGCATAACAGGAGTGTAATCATTTGAAAATGCTTGGGAGCTATTTGCTTTTGTACTTTTATTGATCCGCCATGTACATTTGTACCAGGATAAAGCTGAATATGTTCTCTTCTGGTATTTCGATAGACTCCTGAAACCTCTTTAAAGGCCTTTTTTTCGCAAACTGTGAAATTTGGCTTAATCATTTACTTACTAGTCAGTATTTGACTTTTGCCTCTTCTTAAAATCATGGTTGTACTAAATAATAATATGATGTCATTCATTACTTTGTCTGCTCCTTTTACAGTCTAATGTCGTTACTTTTGCGTCTTGTGTAGTTTTGTCTGTACGGTAAATCAGTATTTATATGTTCAATGTGATTAATGTTGGTTTCATAGATTCCATTTTATCAATATTGGAGCCTCTGAAGTTCCTGGAACCATCTGTGGGACTGCTTTGTCTGTGTTTCCTTTAAATACAATGTCTTCCTTGCCCGTCGATAAAAATTGCCATCTGAAATGGTTATAGGTCCTACCACCACTGCAGCGAAGGAAACTTCTGCGATTCCTGTGGGAACAACGTCTGAAGGTTTTTTTATTTTGCTCTGTTCGCACTAACTTTGCTTTGTACACAACTTACAAGTAGCACTTGCAGCCTCAACCGACACTCCAATGACCAAAGGAATTTGAAAGATCATCTTTTTTTCACATAACATTTATAATTTATGACGTACATAATTAGTCTTGCTTTTGTCAGGTAATTTCTTTTCTTCTATCGTGTTTGTTAAAACAAAAAATAATAATAATATGCAATTTGCAACGTCAAGTATATACACGTCCTCCCCCCCCCCGTCTTCTCTCTCTTTCTCTCTCTCTCTCTCTCTCTCTCTCTCTCTCTCTCTCTCTCTCTCTCTCTCTCTCTCTCTCTCTTCCTCTCCCATTTTTTTTGCTGTGCCCATGTCCCTGTAAACAATTTGTAGTTTTCGTTTAATTCTACTAATGTGACTGGAAAAAAGATTAACTCTCAAGCACTTTATTTGATAAAGCTTAGAATAATATCCTATTCTGAATTTGAGATTCAAGAAAGTAGAGAACTCTGTTTATCATTCTTTTAGAAAGTACTTTTATTGTTCGGTGGATTTTTTCTCTTTTTGCTGCTTGCAGGTTATTACTGGTAACATTGTTACACAGAACATATCTACTGTAAAGGAGTTTCAATGGTTGTATCCAGATTCGTTCAAACAATAATAATTCAAATAATCACATTCCAGATTTATTGGCCAGACAAATATTTATGAAATTTGTATTGATTTTCTACTCATTTGCTGAGTCAGACTGAGGGACTGGAAGCCTTCCATACTTTTGTTGTAGATGTGATGCAGGAACCATATTGTTTGTAAAAGTGTAATTGTTTTGAACTTGTGTTAATGTTCAAAGACAAAATTAGAATATGTGTTATGTCTTTAGGAACTACACCACCTGCCCCTGAAGAAATTGTCGTTACTACAGAGGCCAAGAAGACAGTGCCCGAAGGTGTTAAAAATTACTTACTCTGCTTTTTAACTTGTCTCGCAGAATTTACCCCAACAAGACCAGTGATTGTTAATGCTCCTTTAAGCAGAACTTATAACGAACAAATGATAAACTTTCTACTTGATAGGTAGGCTGTCAATAATCTCCACTGACGGTATTACCGCTATAGATACTCTAGTCTGCGAAGTAATTAAAAACAAAATACAGTGACAATGATATATTGTTGGACATTTGAATATTTCCTGGAATATTTTTCTACTTCTCTGGTCAACATAGTTTCCCTGACTGTTCTTTTCATGAGCCCAGTATCGTATTGTGGATTTGAAATGAAACGATTGACCTTTCTGCAAGAAGAAGTAAATTCTATTAAATGTTGGCAGTTATGTTTCTCTGAGGAGCATGCTGTGGCAGATAATAAAATATGATGATATAACTACTTGCAGCCAGAGCTAAGTTTTCACATTTTCAGCATAACTATATGTGTCAAAGTGTTCTTGCAAATTTTTTTTAAATGCTGAAATGGGCCACATTCGTAAGACAGGAAAGTTTGGTAATCGTAACAAGAAAAGAGTTTATTTTTTGTATCTCGTATTATAATGGCAAAAATGATAAAGTGTATGAGGCCTTGCCAGTAAAAAAGGAGAACGACATTTCATGTTATTGGTTCTCCTGTGTAATATAATATGGTAAACAGGGGTAAATGTCTTTAGATACTTATTATGATCTTAACTGCAGCACGATATAATATTTAAAAAGAGTACTTTCGAATGTACCGACAAACATTCTATGTATGCTACTCCATCAATGGGTAGACAACTTTTCAAGGGCTGTGATAGTAAATGGGTAGCCTACTTTTAGTAAGCTGTAATCGTAATATATTTCAGTTAAAAACAAGAAGATAGAAATGTTGATTGGTGTTTAAAAACTATTGTAAATTTGAATGGGCAGTTCCCTATAGTTATTTCTTCAATTCCATGTACGTTATTTATAGATACCACAACATTTGCTCCTGTGAAAACAACTATGTTGCCAGTGGCAACAACACGTAAAGGTTAAACGTTATTAATATTGAAACACTCGCTTCGCTTTGTAATACAAACACTCTGCTTTTTGTTTGAAGAAAATATCATCCCGTACATAATTCACTTAGTGACATTTGCAGACCTCCATTGCTGATAGTAATGCAGAAAAAAAGAATTATTATTTTTGTTATTACTATTGTTGTCTTAAAGCAATTTTTGGAGACACATGCTTTTTTATCTTTGGGTGAATAAAACAAAGAGTTCATGAGTGCATGCCGGTACTTTTGCTATTTCACAGCTATTACTTGAGTCGATAGTGCCGTAAAACACCTACTCAATCAATCAATCAACAGCTATTACTTATTATATTATAAACCTGGCTATCTTCTACAGTCGTTTGTTCAAATGAATAGTTAGGTTGCTTCTCATATAAAGATAAGAAGGCCATTACACTTATTTTGAAAGGGTTTCTTTGAGTTGGGACCTTCTAATGTTGAGGATTAACTATCTGTTAGTTTTTACATTTGACAAATCACTGCACTAACAAATCTTTCTGGTGTGTACAGTAAACCACAAACATTCATTAGATATGCTATCTTACTTCCCTTTAGTGCTTACAAAGAGTGTTGACCATATCACAACAGTAACAAATTACTACTCCTGAATTTTAAGATATAGAGCAACTTTTAGAACTCATTTTCTGACATAACAATATGCACCTGATCCTCGGCACTGACTTTGTCTGATTTAAACCTTTATTACTGGATAAGTAAACTATTTCCTAATCCCTCCACACGCCACTCCCTCTGCACAGAATGACAGGACAACTGACACTCCTCGTCAACCTATAACGTTGAACAGCACCACTTAATGCTTCTACAGCACAGCTGAAAAGCTACACCAGGATATAAAATTTGTGCACGCGTTGAGATTTTTTTCTTGTTGCTTTTGGGTTTGTGGGTTGTTCGGTTGTTGTTGCTGTTGTTAGTTGTTGTTGTTGTTGTTGTTGTTGTTGTTTTTGGATTTTTGGTTGTTGTTGTTTTTGTTTTGTTTTGTTTTGTTTTGTTTGTTTTTGTTTGTTTGTTTTGTTTGGGGGGGGGGTTGGGGGGGGGGTGTTGGGGGGGAACATTTTGTTATTTCAGTACTGTCCACACGTTGCAGCTCCTTTCATTTTATTTTAGCAGCTATCAGTTGCAGCTTCATAATAATTGTTGTTTTTAAGACATCAAACCAGCTATTCGACCAATATGCCTTTTACGATTTGATTCAATTACATGTTTATATGACTTTTGTGTATGCTTTGTACGTGTTGCAGTTTTAGGGAAGTGGAAGAATGAGAACGTCATTGAATTGAAGTAATTTGTGTTTTAAAGGTCCTTGGCATCCAAAGCTTTTTCAACCTCCTAGGGCCAACAACATTATAATTTTGTCTTTTTTATATCAGTCACTATAGCTCGGCAGTCATGATAATGCAGTGATCTCTCTCTCTTTATCTCTCCCTCTCTCTCTCTCTCTCTCTCTCTCTCTCTCTCTCTCTCTCTCTCTCTCTCTCTCTTTCTTTCTCTCTCTCTCTATCTATCTATCTATCTATCTATCTCCCTCTATCGATCTATTTATCTATCTATCTATCTATCTATCTATCTATCTATCTATCTATCTATCTATCTATCTATCTATCTATCTATCTATCTATCTATCTATACCCCTTCATATTATGTTGTGGCCATCTATGAGGAGCTCTGTATGTCACAATCTCCCCCCGCACCTATCTGTATCTTTCACAAATTGTTGTTTATCATTGAGGAAAAGAAACAAGACTAAGTGTGTTCAAATGTTGAATGAATTGCTGAATCACCATACATTCAGATTATCAGTGTAACGTTAAACACATTGTGGTCAGGTTTTTCAATTAACACATCAGTATTGCAATTACTTAGTAATTTTGGATCGTAAACTAGTGAAAGGATTTCTAATGTTTGTTTGATCCTCCTAATGTAAGTGGGAAACATAATTTTTGTCTTAGCTTAAGCCCACAATGGAAACCTCCTTTGAATATTTAATTTAAGAAAGTAGAAAATATAATATCCTGGCCGTCATATTCTTAGAAAGTACTTTGACCAATAGATTTTTTCTTTCTTTTTTTCTACTGGGTTCAGGGCATTTCTTTTAACAGTAGTATGGAATACTGTAAAATACTGTTAATAGTTACAGCCAGGTAATCTATTCAAACTATATAAGTAAATGTTTTCCAGAATTCCAGTCCCCACAAATGTTTTAGAAAGATGTAATCATCCTCTACTCTTTTGCTGAGTTAGACTTGGTTGCTTACTTGGTTACTTGGTTAGAGAATAGTAATCATTGCAGGTGTCACAGTCATATATTTTTTTAATGTTTACCTTCTTTATGTTCATATACAATATTGGAAATATAAAAACTCTGTCTTTAGGAACTACACCACCTGCGCCTGCAAAAGTTGTCGTTACTACAGAGGCCGAGAAGCCAGTGCCCGAAGGTTGTTAAACATGCCTTACTCTTCTTTTTAACTTGTCTCTCAGAATTTACCCCCACAAGACCAGTAACTGCAACTGCTTCTATGACCAGGACTTACAAGGACAGAAAATAAATGTTTAATTTTGACATGTCGCTACCCTAGAATTACAAAGTTTTATCTGCTAAGTAACCAGTTTGGAGAAATTTGAAGTTAAAAATTTTGAGTTTCACAATATGTCAATCTTTTTTCTAATGTAATTCCTTGAACATCCTGATGACGACTCTGAATACTCTTACGATTTTGATAGAGCGGATAGAACAATTTGGTTTCTGACATCATGGTCGTAACTCAGAACGGTAAAAAATGTCAGATAGAACTTTGTAATTCTAAGGTAACAATGTTTCCACGATCTCCACTGACGGTAAAAACGCGATAGGTAATATTCTAGCTTGTAATGCAAATAAATATTACTAAGGTTAATTGCTACACTCCTTTCACTGTTTTGAAAATTATGATAGCATAGACATAGGGTAACAAGCACACGAGCAATATCATCACTTAGAAGCGGCCCCCATTGTGATTTTTCGGCATAATTTATTAAATGCTAGGGATGAAGAATTATTTCCAAATGTTTTGTCACTCTTTGTGAGGAGTTGGGAAGGAGGGTTGTGTTCTGCCCCCCTGGAGAGCAGGGCGGGGATCTAGAGAAAGCGCCAAACAAACCAAAAATGAAACACACTTAACACTAAGACTAATGTGCACATTATTTCCAAAATCAGAGCATCATCATCGTCACCATAAATAATCATCATCATGATCACCATCACCATTACCATAACTATCATCATCATCATCATCATCATCATCATCATCATCATCATCATCATCATCATCACCATCATCATCATCATCATTATCATCATCATCTTCTTCATCATCATCATCGCCTACACAATTCCCGTTTTTCTTGTTTCGTTTTTCTAGAAAACATAACAATTTGCACCATGTCAATACATTTTTACGTAACCTACAAATGTGGCGCCAAAAAAGCGTGTAATGGAAAAGGCCACAGGGATAATAACATAATTGGACATTTGAATATTTCTTAAACTTAAAATAATTCACAACCATTCTAGTCATCAAAGTGTCCTTGACGTGCCACATTAGGTATTGTGAATACAAAAGAAAAAAATATTGATTTTCCCGCAAGAAGTAAATTCTGTTATAATGGTGGCAATGGGAGGACAACGTCAGATCTCTTAATAAAGCATGCTCTTTTAGATTTTAACCCAGACATACCGTACTTGCTGACAGGAGTGGGTTTTAATGTTTCAACATAAAATGTTTGTCAAAATGTTATTTTCTTTTACTAAACAATGCAGAAATGTGCCACATTCCTAAGACAGAAAAACGTGGTAATTGTAAAGAGAAAAGAGTTTATATATATACTTGTTGTTAATGGTATGATTGCCAAAACGCTTCTGTAGTTTATAAGGCCTTGTTAGCAGAATAGGTGGGAGCCATTTCATTTTTTTGGTACAACTGTGAAGCTTTATATGGTAAACAATTGTAAATGTCGTTCTGCATATTTATGATAATATAAGCTGGAGTATGATACATTTTAAAAGAGTACTTTCAAAGGTGCTGAAGAGCATTCTATGTTTGTCACTTCAGCAATGGGTAGCCTACTTCTCAAGAGCTGCAAAGAACCTTTCAGTTAAAAATAAAAATATGAAAATGTTAATTAGCCGAAAGGAAAAACATGTGTACGTTTGGACATATAGCTCCCCAACAGTTATTTCTGAAATATTATTATTTATAGATACCACCAGACCTGCTCCTGTGAAAACAACAACGTTGCCAGCGGAACCAACACGTGAAGGTTAACAAAAATTATTGCTACTTTTGAAACACCTGCTTTGCTTTTGTGACACAACACGCAGTGCCTTCGTTTTTTTCCTCTCTTTGTAAAGGTTTCTGCAAAATAAAGAAAGTAAAAGTTTATTATAATACGGCACAACTTCCACTCAATAGCATAAAATGATCCTAACTGTTTAGTTTTGTAAGAGTCTTAAGGCGCTCGCAACTGCATGATAAAACCATTTTGTATATCTTTTTAAAAAATTATAAATGTGGATTTTTAAAACGCAATAGTACGAGATGTGATTATAACATTATCTTCGCGTATATAATTTCCATCCGATCGTGTAGCTCCCAACAATTATTTCTTCAATATCATCATTTATAGATACCACCTCGTCTGCTCCTGTGAAAACAACTACGTTGCCCGTGGCAACAACACGCAAAAGTTAAACATTGTTGCTACTGTTGAAACACTTGCTTTGCTTTTTGACACAATACACTGTGCTTTCTGTTTGAAGTTTTCTGAAGAAAATATCTCCCCGTATATAATTCATTTCTTGGATCATCACACGTGACAATTATTACAGACCTCTGGTGCTGAGAAACACGATTCATGATGTCTTAATCTTTGTAAAACTTCAACCCTGCTTTTCACCTTTGAAGTAGTAAATTTGGTCTTATCAAGCACTACTCAAACACAGAAATGATTCTGGTGAATAACCTACTCCCCAGTTTAACCATCACTTAAACAGTCTGGAAATTATACCTGATAGCAATGCAGAAAGTAAAATAATATTATGATTATGGTGGCTTGTTGTTTAAATGCGGTGTTTTGGAGACACCTGCTTATTCGGTTGTGGTTGAATGGAACAAAGGGGTCATAAGTAGATGCAGGTACTTTTTTCTATTTCGCCGCTATTTTATAGGCCTATAAACATATTATACATGTATAGGCCCTGCAACTACCTGTCTGTTTTGGTTCTTCATTCAAATGAATTAAGTAAGAGTTTTACTGCATTTGCGGCTTCATAATGGTCATATGAGCGAGCCATTCAAATGAATAGATATCTTTTACTACAAAAATGAATACACTCATTTTGAAAGTTGTGTTTCTTAGAGTTGAAACCTCCTAATGCCGAGGACTCACCATCTGTTAGTCTTTACATCGGGTGTTTGGCAAATCACTGCACTAACATAATATTCCCTTGAGATATTCAGTGAACAGTTCTTGTTTTTAACTTTTATTAGATAGGCTATGCTATCCTACCTCCCTTAATTGCTTATACGGAGTGTTGACAAATGACAGCAGTAACAAATAAGCAACTTAACTTGTTGATATAATATGCACCTTATTCTCCCCTCTGACTTTGTTTAAACATCTAGTCGCAGATAAGTAAGCCATGTGTGAATCACCCCCCCGGCGGTGCCACTGACTGAAGTGTCTTTAGGCCATTCCCAAAGGGAGGACATTTCTCGTTCTAGTGCACAGTAGAATTGTAAATGGGCTGAATTAACATTGTCATGCTCATAATTGTGCCTGAACTACAACAGGGAACTGCTGCTTTTTCTTTCCTAATCCTCGCTATCGTCATTTTCCTCTACTTCTTTTGTGTGTTTGTCACGCCCTTTTGACCCACTATTTCCGGGGTGCCTTGATAGTCGAAGCGGTCTTTGTGCTGCTGAGGCTAGAGAGGTGAGCGGAGCAAGTCTGATTCCCTGTGAGGACTTCTCTGTTGACATCCACCCCTTGACGCTCCTATGATCTTATGCAGTTGCGAGCTCCGTATAACCTTACTAAAACAAAACATTGGTTTCTTTTGTATCTGTGCAGGCAACAACAGACGTGAACCTGGACTTCCTGACCAAGGAGGAGC